ACATCCAAGTGTGAATGAATTGTAAAACCACAAGCTTCTAGAAAATACCAACAAAATGAATAGACTTTAAAGGGATAAAAGTACAAAAATTTTAAAAATATATAAACAATATTACTTAAAATTAGGGACTTCTATTTTTCAGAAGACACCATGAACAGAATGCTAAGTCAAGCCACATAATGAAAGATATTGTAACACATGTAAATGACAAAGGCATCTATCTATCTATCTATCTATCTATCTATCTATCTATCTATCTATCTATCTAATTATGTGCCGATCCAAGAAATTAACAATGGTTGATAACTGAAGAAAAAAGTGTGTAAGGCTTGAAGATGTATAACATAAAATACAATATCAAAATGAATAATAAATAAATGAAAAGCTACTCAACCTTGGTAGTAATAAAATACATGCAAATTATTTATGCTACCAAATTTTGGCAAAGTGTGTGAAACTACAAGCTATCATATACTGCCGGTGGGAATGTATATTGAAATTATCACTTTGGAAATCTATCTACCATTATCTATTACAATAGAACATTCCCACACCACATGGTACAGGTATATGGTCAACAGAAATTAGTACACCACATAGCCCTAAAGAAAGATGAAGGAAAATCAATAACAGCATTATTGAAATAGTAGAAGAAAGGGCAACCCAAATATCTATTAATCTTCTCTAGTCATACAAGGAAATATATATAGTAATGAAAAGTAGTTAACTATAGAGGCACATAATAGAATAGATGAAAATCATTCTCATCATGTTAACTCCAGGTTCAAACTTAAAATATTATGTTGAAGGAAAGAGCCTAGACACAGGAATATATGCTGCATGATTTAATTCATGGAGGACTCATAAGTCTCAAAAGTCAATTTTAGAAATTAAGACAACAGATATCTCTGTTAGGAAGAGGGTAGGGGACAGATTGTGAAGGGGATGGCAAGTATCCTTTTTTGGTGATGGCAATGTTCTGCTTCTTTGGGTAGTGGTTTCACAGGTGCTTGTTTTGTGAAAAATTACTGAACTCTATATACTATGCACTTCTTTGTTGCAAATTATTTGTAAAATAATAAGAAAATATGTGATCTTCAGGTGTCAGAAATTTGAAAATACGTTGACTTATGGTAATGTGGTGTTTTAGCATATACATGCATTATTTTAATTACATTTTACATTTAGCATAGAATATTGATAGATATAGGTGGGGTGCAGTATTATCAGTGTTTAATTTTTTTCTAGGTTAAGCATATCCTTTGTAGCTAGAAAAATATAAAAGTCATTGTTGAGAGAATGGTGAGATAAACCTGAGAATGAGGTACTACTGGAATCACACAGGCAGGCTACTTGAGTGTGAGAAATGATCAAGACACCTTTTTAAAAATTTTGTTGTAAATTGAAAATTATAATTGTATGCATTTATGGGGTATAATATAATATTATATGTATATAACGTAAAACAATGAAATCAAGCTAATCAACATATCGATCTCCCTAAATACTTAAATTTTTTTTGCGATGATACAATCTGAAATATACTATCTTGGCAAATTTGAAATGTACAATATATTGTTATTATTAACTATAGCCACCAAGAAATCATTTTTTATGTCTTTTGACAGAAAAGTGCAATGATTTCATATAACTGCTAGATGGCACCACAACATTTGTATATAGAGGACTACACAGTATATAGGGACTTCAAAATTTTAATGTAAAAGGGGTTTTTGAAGTAAACTCATTTTCAATATTTGTAATTGGCACTAGAATGTAGAGGTGTATTTAAACAATAAATTACTGTCTTAAGAATTCCATATTTGTGTTTATTTAAAAAACAGTTTTTCTTAAGATTAGAATGATATTGATTATAGAATAATATTCATTATAGACGTATTCATTATAAAAATCAAAACTATAGAGAAACATCAAGAAGCACATAAATATTACCTATATTTCTACTACCCAGAGAAAGCAGTGTGTTTAGTTTGTATTTTTTCTCTCAGCACACAGAAATATGAAACATAATTTATATATTTAAGATTATAGGGGATATAATGTCATTATTGTACATATTATGTACTGCCAGCAATAATCGTTTGAGCATTATTTTATGTTTTAAAGTTCTCATTATTTTTTAATGTTAGCATAGCATTTCGTCATGTAGAAGAATTATATTTAACATTTTGGTTTTGGATAATTAAGTGGCTTCTAATATTTTACAACTAGAAATATACCATTGATAAGCATTTTTGTGGTTATGTCTTGCACATCCAATATTACTGCTTTAAAATCTCCCTCTCTACACAAAAATTTGCTGCTTCAAAGAAAAGAAATTAATTATTTTAAGGTTTTTGATTAATATTGCCAAACTGCTTTTCAAAGATTAAACTGGACCAATTTACACCATCACCAATAATCTTTCTGATCAGATATTTTCCAATATTTTCTTCAGAAATTCATTTACATTTTAATTTCAGTTACAATATATATTCATTGATGGAAATATAATCAAAACTATAAAAATTGAGAACAAGCTTGAAAAGATAATTTCTATGATAGTATTATACAATTTTTGAAACATTGAATACTGACTACAGCATCTAATATTTTCGTGACATTTTATACTTTTAAAAATAATTTTATCAAAATCCAATAATTATGTGAAATAAACAGGTGAAGTATCCCTCTTTCCAGAGGAAAAAATTGAAATTATGTTGGAAAATCAAAATAAAGCACAGATAACAAATATTTATTTTTAGCACCCTGGCAAGGTAATAATGCAAGATGAACATAGCCTACAAATTTAACATTTTGAAAATTGGTTAAAAGTTTGAGTACAAGAGCAAATAAAGCAATATATCTGTAATGTGCTTCCACAGCACCCTACATTTCCCCATCATAGGCCTCATCACACCATATTATTATTATTATTTGTTTTACAAATAGACTACACATTTTATAAGGCTAGTTGCCATGTCGAATTTTCAAGTATTAATGCTATTGTCTACTAAGTCACAAGTGCTTAATAATTACTTGTCAAATGAATGTTTAAAAATTATCCCACAAAATATGTTATGCAGAAATAGACATGTTATCTAGAAATGCTATTTTATGCCAATACTGGAAATTAGACTAGTTTCCATTTATAGCAATTGTCTAATATTTGATACATCTTTGGGGTTTACTGTTCACCAGGCCCCATTTTAGGTTTGTTTGATGTACTAATTAACTGAATTTCTAACCAATTGTATCTGAATTTTGAACTTATTCTGATAAAAACATCTAGTCAGTCAGAGGGTGGTAGAGATGAAACTTTGATCACCTGGCTCCCTTGCTCTGCTCCAAACAGCTCCACCCTCCACACATGTATATCGTAGTGCACGAATCTTAAGACATTGTTTTCTGATATGACTACGGGGTAAATTATTGTTATCAACAATAAAATATTATAGCTAGGAGGTCATTTATGTCATTTTATAGCTGTGGGAACTGAAGAGTATTGAAGGTAAGAAACTTGTATGTGATTTTTCACTTCTTAAGAAGCATCTGATATCCTCATTTCATTCTTGTACACCTTGCTGCTGACACTAGTTTCAAGGTACCATACATAGCACACATTTCCAACTTTCAGAGAAGGAGAATATTGAAAAATACATTTATAAAACAATGTGGAAGATAATCAAGTTTTTTCCTGATGAAATATCTCATTAAAATCATGCAGTGCATTATTTCTACTTAGTGAATTATTTTATGTAAATAACTAAAATGTATATAGCACTTCAGAATTGAACAAGATGCTTTTAGAGCATTAACTATGAGGACTGGGTTATTACTGAGCATCACTATACAGAAAAATAGATATGGCCCTTAAGACACATGCTAAGAACATAATTTGGAAATGTATAAACCATATTATAAAACTAAAGTTTTGCCATAGATAGGATTATCACTTAAGTCATAATATTTTGTTTCTTGTATTCTAATAGGCATATGTAATTTTAAATATATTTTGAGGCCATGAATACATTGTGGAAACCAATTTTATTTTCACATACACAAAAACGTATAAAAACAGCTTATAATCGTACGGAATACAAAATACAAACACACTTTATTGCACATAAAAATACTTTAAATGAAGTATTGCACATGATAGAATTAATTAGGAAAGTCATGAATTATCTTATTATCAGATAAGAAAATACAGAATATTTCCTCCTGGAAATTTGCCATATTACATATTGCACGTTTCATTTTTTTGTTTTACAAATTTTTTTAATATTCTTTGCTTTTGTTTTTCTGCAAAACACTGTATAGACGGGTTTAAAGTTAAAGAAAAATGTACCATTGGGGGAAAAAACAGTCTACAATTGAAGAATTACAAAAAAAATACATAATCACCCCATTCTTTGGGGGGGGGAAATGACAAAGTAACAGCATATTCTCTAAAAAGAGAAATTTTACAAAGCTTAGTTTTATAAGCACTTATACACTTATAAATGCTCCCTGAGTTTAAAGATTTCATTTATACTGAATAACTGAGTTATCAGTTACAATTCCATTTGTTTACATTCAGTTTTTAGTATCAACATTTAACTTCTTCACATAGTGCACATGCATAAAGGGCACTCACTGTTGGTAGTTATTCAGCAATAAATAATAACCCTGAACATGGGTATTTTATTATTTACAAATTTTAAAAAAATAAAGTGCATCCAAAGGTTTTATAGTCATTCTTCTTATTCTTGAGTAAGAGTATCAGCTAACCAGTGATGTTTTCAGCTCATGCCACAAGGAGTCTACAATGCAGATTTTCCTATAATCTTTCTCCTTTTTTTCCCCCCCACAATCCTGTTTGGAAGAGATTTCCAAAATAATACAAAGTTTTTTCACAAAGTCTGTATAGAAAACTTCTGACCACATAGCAGCATCCATTGACAAAGTTTGCCTTGAGTTCCATGCTATAATAGTTGATAAGTAACGATGTTTCCTCATTACTTGGAGGGTTTGCTGCATATCCAATGTAATTTGTTTTCGCATTCTTTATTGTTGATTTCTGTGCTGTTCAGAAAAGCACAGTTCTCTGACCCTGTAAGGTTGAACCTGCCAAACAATAAAGAAACTTAGAATTATTTTTAGCTCATCACTTCCAGTTACATGAGAAAAAAAAAAACCTTGTGGTGGCAGTGATCTCTGCTTTTCTTTTTTCTTAATAGAAAATATGAGGCAGTCGACCAGTCAAATAATAATAAGTTAATCTGCAGAGATGATGGACTAGAATTGAAAGGAATCGTTTGTAGAGAAAAGACATGAGGGATGAAGGAAAGCACTCCATTAATTCGGTTGACATTTTGCCAGAGAAGTGATTCTTGGTCATTTCTGAGTCCATAGATCCTTCAAGAAATGATTCATCATAATTATATAAATTCAACAGCAATGCACACTAGTGCATAGAGTTTTTTTGCGGGGGTTGGGTCCAGAAACCCATCTGTGGACGTGGGATATAGCACAAACTAAGAATCCCTTTTCTCGAGAACTGAATTTTAATATTGATTCTGTATTAGTAATTATTACAAAGCTATTAAGATAGCTAGAAATTTATTCAGCTCTGAGTTTTTGGATGGCAAAGATTAACACCAAACTTATTAAATGTCCTTCAAACTTTAACATGTAGTTTAACTACAGGAAACGAAAATAGAGTAAGTATCTTTAGTTCTGGGGCAAGTTTTCCTTCATGTTCATATAAACTCATAATTAGGCATTAAGACTATTGTTCTTTATTTCTGTGAAGATGAAAACTGGGAAAGAGTAAGAAAGATTTCTTTTCCAACAACTATCTCATCAGTAAAATGTGAATACGACATTGGAAATGTTGGTGGTTTTTGCATCATCATAATTATTCTTGATATATTTCCAGATGGAACCTATTACTCAAGCTAGAGTTTACTGAGAAAAAATTACTATAGGGATTTATTGTATGAACTCTAAGTGGATAAAAAGATAATAATAAAGCCTGTCATTAAAAAAATGCGAGAGAGAATACACATTTAAAAGACATTGTTAGGTCTCTGCCAAAGAAGAGCTCAGTCTTCATATCTAACAGTGCTTTGAAAGGAAAAAAGGAAAGGGGTTTCCTGGGGTGCCACCCTGGGAAGGATAAAGAGACTTCTGGAGACTTACCAGTTGTTAAATTCTTTGCCATTTGACCATTTCCATGTCTGACCAGCTTCCTTTTTCAGTCCAATCCAGTGTTCAGTTTGACCTACATATTGTTTTAGAAAGTTCTTTAAAAAAAACCAAAATAGTTGTTATATTAAAAAACCTTCTGGAGAAGTGCATAACAAATCTTGTTTTCCAAAATCTGCAATTTGAGGCATGATAGCTCATCTGATCATTTATTAGTTTTTTGTAAGATCAGCTCATGCTCTCATTTTGACTGATCATATGGATCGCTATGACTAAATTTTCTTACATGTGAAATATGTTTTCACTTAGAAACAGAAGGAAACCACAGAACAGCAATATTTTATGAAATTGTTTTTAATCTTACCATGTCCTTTTCAGAGTCAATGACAGCAAGAGTAGCACCAAGTTCATAGCAAGCATTCTGGGCTGAGTTCCAGTTCCCTGTACTGGTGAAAATAAGATAGCACTTCCTCTGGTAGCCAACCCAGTCATCTGAGCATGAAGAAACAGGGCTGTCTGATGGCATTGGGAACATGGATTGGCCTGGACAATTGTACTGGCCCACTGTAAACAGGAAAATGGTTTGTTTCAGCAACAAAAGAAACCAAAGGCTCATAGCATGCAAAGTTAGTCTAGGGATGCTGTACTGTGTTAGGTGGTAAAAAAGAACATGGGCCAAAAAAGAGAATTCTGAAAAGAGTAAGAAGAAAGCAGTTCTCACCTTATATGATCTCTTGTACCAAATTATCATCATATGGGCATGAGGATAAGGGAGTGTCCCCTTGGCCATAGTATCAGAAAATGACAAGATAGAAAAATTCTGAAAGTAATCTTTGAACTAGAAGGTATAAAGTACATTATACATTCGAAGTAATATTCTGAATCTGAAAGCAGAGGTAGAAGAATTCGGAGATGTAGTAGATATAAAAGTAGGTTAGATAGATGAAGAAGAGAGTAATTTTCAGGGAACTAATTCAAATTAAAGAAAGATTTATGGGTGAAGATATTTTATAAAATCATAAAGCATTCATATTTGTAAGACGCAAATGCATCTTAATATAGCTGTATGTATTGAATACCATATCATCGTGACTCTCTGGGACCTTATACATATAGTCTTAATTATCCAGAACTTCCATACTGTGGCTTTTGAGATAAAAACAAAAGATTGGCCACTTCCTGATTAATCTATGGCTTTAGATATTATTTTTTTCACCAGCAAATAATGTGAAGAACATATTATTTTAGCTAATTGCCTATTTATTTAGAATTCAAATCAACCCCCTTCATTCCATATATATCTTTTCAAATATATTTTTTCTACAGTAATGAATAATCATAGACACCATAATACTTATCAAAATATTGCATTAATGATCAGCAAAGGAACATGGATTTATATTTTGCATTGATTAGAAAATTGGCCATGTGTGTATATGAGATGATGCTAAATTAACCAAGGCTTTTGATTAACTAGACCAAGCTAACACTCATTCATTTCAGCTGGGCATGAATGCTTAGAGCCAAGAGGCTTTGAAAGAATTCATAAAGTAAATACTCACCTGATAAGGCAATGAGAGTTATGATTAAAATGGTGATGAAGACCACATTCAGAACAGCACACGGGATAGGAACTTGAAGGGACCCTTCATGGTGTTTAGCAAAATGGGGACTGGTGGTAGTATCTGAAAGAAAGAAAGTTGATGATGAATTCAGGAATATATGTACTCAGCACTTACATATGTACTGATCAGCTATGCAAATATTAAATATATCATTTTATTGTTTAAATCACAATAAGAACATGTATTAAACACTCAAATACCCCGAAAGACACATTAACAAAAATAACATCCAACATAAATATCTTAACCTCCTTGTAGTTACTACTTAAGAGAGATAATGTTAATGGCATAGATAATATAACAAAGTGAAATATTGAATTGATATATAAATATCTAAAACTCAAATGATTAATTTTAAAAAAACTGTGCAGATGTGGAGCAATTGGAATTTTGATATATTATTGATAAGAAAGTTAATTGGAAAAATACTTTGGAAACTTTTATATAAAATTAAGTACATACCTACTCTATGATCCAGTGATTCTATTCCTATGTATTTTCCCAAAAGAAATAAAAATATGTTCCATAATGCCTTGTACAAGAATGTTTATAGCAACTTTATTCTTAAGAATCAAATTCTAAAAATAATCCAAATATCCATCAACAGAAAAATGAATAAATAAATTACAGTCTATTCTTACAAGGGAATTCAACACAGTAATTAAAAAAAAAACAACTAATACATGTAACAAAATGAATAAATCTCAAGAAAAATGGTGTGAAAACAAAATTTAGCCACAAAAGATTGTATAACATATGTTTCCATTAATATGACATACGAGAGTAGTCTAACAGAGCTTTGGTGACAAAAATCAGAACAGTGGTGGCCTTTGTGTATGTGAAAGAGGTAATTTAACTGGAAGGGACAGAGGGCAACTTCCTAGGGTAATGGAAATATTCAAATTTTGATTGAATTAGTGATTATACAATTGCTATAACTCATTAAACTATACATTGATGATCTGTGCATTCATTTAGATTATACCTTAATTAAAAATAATATATGAATTAACAGTAAATAATGAAGAAAAGAGAGAAGGCAATTTTGTGATTTAGAGTTTAGATTTTTTTTTGCAGGATGTGCTATCAAGATTTTTTAAATGTGTCCCCGTAAGGAGTAAACAATTCTCTATTGTGTTCTCAAGTCTGAAATGTAAAGTGGCTGCTTGAATAATAACTGCCAATGAAAAATTAGACTCAAAATGCAAAAATATCCTGTTTTTCAATATTCATGATGTTCATAACTAAAATGTTATCTACATAAGACATTCTTGAAATCCATGTACTTTTTTCCCCTTAAAACATTTGCCTAAAGTTAAAATGGATAAAGAGATATGTTGCCTTTTTCATAGTAATTTACCATGTACCATGTGTCAGCATAAATCTTGCTTCATCTGGGTGTTCTTTTTCCCAGCATAGATCTGCACTCGCACTCAGATTTCACTAGAGAAACATTTGCTTCACTCCTATCTAGTTCTATTTCTCTCAGCTTCTCGCTTCTCAAAGCAAATGGAACCAACCATGCTGTCCATCAAAAGAGGACTGAAATAAAAAAATTGGTACATATACACAATGGAATATTGCACAGCCATAAAAAAGAACAAAATCATGAATTTCATAGCAATCTGGATGGAATTTGAGTTTATAATACTGAGTGATCTCTCACAGAAACAAAGATCTGAGTATCACGTGTTCTCACTCATAAGTGGTCTTTGAACAACTATCATAATACTATAAGAAAAGGATTGACAGTGGCAGAAACTATGGGGGGGGCACGGAGGGGAAGGGAGGTGGGATTAACGGTAGTCAATATCTGTTGGGGACGGGGGGCACACCTCATCAACAAGGGTACCTCTACAATGCATATCTTTATGCCTAACCCTTAACTGTACCCCACAATTTTAAAATAAAAAATATGTATTAAAAAAATAAAAAATAAAAAAGACCCATACACGATTATCACCGGAAACAGGCTTTGGTAGGTAGGGAAGCAAGTTCAGAGCTCTGTCTAGTTTCACTTCTCACCCTGTAAGAGTCAGTCATGCTGCTTGGACTCAGTGCCACAGTAGTTCTGGCTCCTCGGCAGATACCTGCACATCCAAATAACCCATGGACCCCAGAGCTTAGGTCAGCCCACTGGCCCACCCAGTGGATAAATTGTGGCGATAACTCTCAGATGACACTTTATTTTCATTAGTATGGGCTATTGTTAACCACAGTTTGATTTATCACCTATGTGACAAAACATTTCCCCCAACAGCACACTTTTACTTTGATTAGAGGTCCTGTATATTAATGGAGAAATTGAAAATAAATCCACCCGTGTATTAACAATGGAATCCCCCAAGAATGTATCCCACTGATAGTGCACACTAATAAAGTGACTACAAGGGCACCATAAGCTAGATATTCAATAATAAATTGGAATGATCTCAGGAAAAGTGTTTTTTTTTTTTAGCGATGCTTTCTATTTATTGAGTAATTTTATTATCAATTTTTCTAGCAGCTCAACTGGGCTATAAAGTTATAACTCACCTGATTACGCAAAATTTTGCATGCCTTGCATTTGTTATCTTCAATCAACTTTATGTTCTTAAGTAAAGGATAGGTTTATCAGAGATAATGTTTTTCTAAAATAAACCAATCTAGTAGACACACACTTAGAAAATAATCCTTTCCTCAGAGATTGTTTTGGCTCTGCTGTTTCTACAATATCTTTTTGATACAGGATAGCTCTTTCTGATGAGTAAACTCTAGCTCTTAAGTGCTAGTGTTTTTAGGGAAACATTAAGAAGGAAGCATAAGTGGGGAAAAAAATCAAGAAAGGCTTATAGAAATATGAATAGAAGAGCAATGGGGAAAAATTCTGGTAAAAGGAAATATAATAGATATGCAGATAAAACAGAAGAGAAGAAAATTTACAAGATAGTCATACTTTAATGAAATACAAGGGAAAGAAAGAAAAATGTCTGGCTCATGTAGAACTTGATGGTAGTAATTTGAAGGGTGAAACAGCAGGAAAAAATGGTGGAAAAGAGTCTCATAATGAATATGAAGCAGAAGATTGTATTACCAGGAATTCTTTTGTGACTTTCTAATATGTTATCATTGGATGCTGTAAATTTTCAGATGCTTATGAAGCTAATCTCTCAAAAGATTGCAAGCTTCCACAGCTCCAGCAACTGAGGATGCTGTCGTGAGAACACAGCATGAGGCACACAGAAAGTAAAGATACAAGGGAAGGCCATCAAGATTGTAGTTGCTTATAGGGAAAACAGAATTTTCATAAAGACAGGAGACAGTTCCTGAAGAATGTACAAGTGGATATGAAAACTTGATGGAGGATAACCAGGCTAGGGCAGAAAGTTTTCTGATTAAATCTTAAAATAGAGATGATATAAACAAAGAAGAAGATCTTTAGAGATTTTCTGAAATTCACCTTCGTAGCTTCCTCTCATCTCAGGTATCCTACCTTTGAATAGACAAAAAGGTATTGATCTCTTCCCGGAGAGGAAACTTAACCAAGTTATCTGAAAGACAAAGCCTCATTTCTTATAAAACTACAAGTATATATTATATTATAGCGATATTACCAGTATATTTTCTTTAACTACCATTATGTATCATATCATCCGTTCTTACATACCTTCTTGTCCTCTTTCCAGATGCAACGAGCTGTCTTCTGTTATGAAACTATTTTCAGAATTCATCTTTATTCTCAAGATTCCCTGGTTAATCTCAGGTCAAGTCAATCTACTGTAAAAGTCCTTATTGGAACTCTTACTCAGTTTCTGAGTCTCTGATGTACCTCAGCATTTATATTCTGTTCTGGTGTCTCCACCCCCTTCCTCTTACCTCCTACTTGTCAGTTCTCTTTAATTTATGCACCAGTGGTCCAGACAGTGTGCAGTGTGTTGTTGTGGTGAGGTATGGGTTTTCCCTGCTGTCTGAAATGTGCTTTCTCACTACTGTCGTTGTAACAGGAACAGACAAGTGGGATTTTCCCAGAATCTGAGATGTCTTTCCTTAAGTTTTTAGAAAGCACAAATAGTTTGAGACAGAATAATTTAAGAATTTAAAGCTTGAGATTGCTATCTTTGAGGTGGTAATAGTTTGAAGGAGAGTGCAATATTTTCCTAGAAAAACATCCATTCATTTATTAATACATTTAACAACTAATATTGATTGATACCCCTTATATACCTGAGGCCAAAGGATTTATTGTTGAATAAGAATTTTAAGATCCCTTTGCTTACAGGTCTCTCTTTAGCATGGAAGAGTTTTACTTAGTTATGAATTGAATATGAGAAGCATGTCATTCACTTCTTCCTTGAAGACTAGTTCTTTTATGGGACCATCTAATAAGCAGTTGCTTTAATGTAGGAAACAGAAAGCTTGTGGTCAGGAACTTCCTTGCTATGTTCTAAAAATTGTACATCTTAAATTATCTGTTTCATGTATCTTCTTCTAACTTTCCCATCATATTTTACTGTCATTTGGACAGGATATATATGTATATATACATATTTTTAAGAGGGTACATGCATAGGTTGTTACATGGGCATTTTACATGATGATTAAGTCTGGGCATCTCTTAAGTGCATCCTCCAAATGATGTGCATGGTACTCAGTGGGTAGATTTTCAACTCTTGTCCTGCTCTTTTCTTCTTCTTTTGAAAAGTCCCCAGTGTCTGTTGTTCCCATCTTTATGTCCATGTGTACCACTAGTTAGCCCCCACTTATAAGTGAGAATATATGGCATTCTGTTTTCTGCAATTATTTTGTCTATTACATCTTCTATTTTTCCTTTCTCTAGTTTATTCTGTTTAGATACCTCTGAGGTTTCAGACATTTGGAGTATAACTATCTAAAAATATATATTGCAGTGATATCAATCTCTTCTATATACATCACTATGGTCAACACGAAATGAATACAAAATGTCTGTGTACAGTGAGTTAAGAGGGGCATCAAAATGCCACTCTAGTTAATAATCTTGGCGCTAAACATTTTACTATTAATACCACATCTTTAGCATGAAGACATTCTGTTTTCAGAATAAAGCCTTGGTGAAAATATTAAGATTAGTTGGGTTGGAATTTAGCATCTACAACAGTTTGTCAGGTCACTGGATGCAATTGTCTACCCAAGACACAAAGAAGTGCATGTTAGTTCTAAAATCTCTTTTTGCTTCCACTCTATTATTCAGTCTAGTTCTTATTATCTTTTCTACATAGCAACCAGAGGTGTTGTTTTATAATTACATTATATGATTTTGGTGAGATGTTCAACTCCTTTCCTCTCCACCCCAAAAAGCTTCTTGTCAAAAGTGCCATAAAACACAAAGACCTTCTAGGTGAGAAACCTTTATACATAATATGGCCCCTGGCTACCTTTCCTACCATTTTTTCTATTGGTCAGTACTCTCTCTGACATCAATCTCCTTGCTGTTTCTCAAAAAATGCCAGCATGCTAACACTACAGGCCTTTACATCTTCTCTTAAAAGTTCTTCTTTTTATCTATCTGCATGTATTGCTGTTCCTTTAATTTACTTACTGTTCAGCTGCCACTAGCTCAGAGAGAACTTTACCTGCTATAATATGTAAAATACAACCTCATGCCCCATGCCTCTATATATCTTTCTTTATATCACTGTCAGTATCTGATATTATAGAATTATTTGTCATCTACTTCTCTTACTAGACTATAAGCTGCTTAGGGAAAAGAACTTTGTCTGACTTGTCTCTTCTGTGTCTCTAACACCTATTGTAGTTACGGAACCTAGATACTTGTATCAATAGATACTTGTTGAATGAGTGAATGGATGAACTAATGAGAAAACACATATAAAACTCTAAAAGTTTCAAAATGTGGGGTGTTATTCATGGAGATTGTAGGATTGTATGGTTGAGAAGTATGTAACTTTAGACTGCCGTAGGATAGCAAGTGTACACTTAAATACCGCTGATGGATGTTAAAGGAGGACTTAGTTTGATTCTTAGAGGAATAGCAGAAGCTGTCACTAATGCTTTTGAAAATTTATTTACTTTAAAGAAACCTACGTCTTTTAACTTCTTATTTACCCTTCTAGAGTTGGGAGATCTTGATTAATGTACACACTCTGTACTAATTACTCATACCTTGTTTTGAAGAATGCATAAGATGATATCACTGTAATAAGTTTGCAACATTACTTGAACTCTTCCAAGTCTGTGGGATATAAAGAGGCAGAAAAAAAATCAAATATCCTCACATACTGATAACATTTGTCATATGTCTTTTCCATATGTAAAGAAGGACTTTTCAACAACTGATTTGACTAACGTGAAATTATGGTACAGTTTTATCATTTATGATGTACCTTTATCACCTCTGGTGATTCTCATATAAGAGTGAAAATCTTATTTCCCTAACTGAGTACTAACTATTTTTGAAGTTTGAACATTTCAGAACATTTCGGCAGACTAGTATTATGAAAAAATGTTTTTTGCAGACTGACAATTGTCTTCCACCTTCTTCCTCATGCTTTTCAAAGGCTTACTATACTGACCTTTATTCTGTTCCCTGAAAAAGCTAAACTTATTTTCATATTATCAGGTGTGTTCTTGCTCTTTTTTCTCTTCTCATATTTTTTCATGTCTAACTCTTTCTTCTCATTTATATTTATCCCCACATCTCACCTCCTAAACGAGACCTTCCCTGATGACCTGGATTAATGACTTCCCATTCGTCCCTATTTGTTACCCCATACTCTTTCTTTAGTTTATAATTACATTATATGTAATTACAAATCTCTATTTGAAATTTTGTAGTTCATCTATTTATAATCGTGTTTAAAATCCTTTTAATTATCGTCTATATCCCACTGCTATAAAGTAAGCTTTTTAAGACCAGGGACATATCTACCTTATTTAACAGTGAATCTCTAGTCCCTATCATAGAGCCCAGAGCACAGGAGATGCTCAACAAGTATTTGTTAGGTGATACATGAAAGAATATGTATGTAAATATTGACATAAGCATTTGTTAACTGTGTAGATTTGGGAAACCTTTACACATCAACTGAGCTTTGGCTTTGTTATCTGTAAACTGAAAATAGTACCATCTAATTTATAAGGTTTTTATAAAGAAACAATTATGAATTGGATAGTTTTTTATCATGCTGTTCAGCAGATATTATGCATTCAATAACAAATGTCATGAGAATAGAAAGTTCCTCATTTGATGTAAGACATTCAGAGATAATAACTGAAAAGTTTCAGCTTAATTGATGACACAATGAAACGTTTCTCATGTCTGAGAAACAGAGGAAGTTGCAGTCTACTACAATCACCTCTAACAGATTTCACATTGCTAAGACTATTGCTGAATTGCTCAAGGTCTTTTGTTTTTCAACATTAATCAGATGAATAAATATTATGTGTCTATACATATATACAAATTGCATATGTTATATATAATATATATTATATGTATGCCCTTAGCCACAGTAAAATGATACCTAAAAATTTAATTTTAGAAAATAAGTGTTTCAACATTATGATATTGATAAAAATCTGTTGCCTTTATTCTAACTTCATTTTTCTCTGCTTTTTTTCTATACAAACAAAGTATTTTGCTGAAATCAGCACTTGAGTGAGAGGGAGAAGGTAGCCATGGCAAACAAAAAAGTTTCCAAACAACCAAGAACAGAGTTATCAGTGGACCTCCTAGGTATCCACTGGTCCCCATGTTCTTCAGTGTCCTCTGCAAGAGCCTGAACTTTGTTGCGAAAGTAACTTTTTCTTCGTTGATCTTCCCTTTTCCATAATTCTATTTATTTAAGTGCAAAAAAAAAAATCTCCCTTTTGAGAAAGTAGTCAACTTCACAATGATAGTGGTTGTCTGGCATTGTTCTGGTTGACACTTGTCGTCCTATTGCAATTATTAAAAACATTCCATTTCACATGTGAGAGTGTCCTGCTAGGTACATTATATCCTCATAGTACTCATCATATTTGTAATACCAAAAGAGGGTATCCCTGCATGTGAAATTCCAGGAAAATAGAACAATGCAAAGTTTAGAGAATCAAGATGCAGTGTGGGAGAGATTTTAGGTCAGAGAGTTTTTCAGTGCCTCTTATTTTTCTAGATGTGGAAGCAAACTTCTTGTGTGATCAGCCCTTTAGAGTATAATTATCTTAAGCAAATAAACACGAAATAAACACATATACAGAAACATAAAAAACAAAACTTGTGCAAATAGACTCTTTTTGATTTTTTATAAGAGATACAGGACAATAATATATCATATAACTTTCTTCTTGCAGAGATATTTTATATGTCTTATTTCATAAATGATATATCCAAAAATTAAGTGATGTCTGTAGGACAGAGGTTATCATTGAGAAAACTCAGGGGTTAGTTGAGAAAGCTGAGGCTTATTAGTGCCTGGACAAAGTCATTCACAGCACCAAAACTCAGTGTAGCTGTGTTTCCTGTGTGACCTTATATGCAGAATCCGGGGAAAGGTGTCAGAAAGGAAATGAAGATGAAGTAATGTGAGCTAGATGCAAAGTGGTGCAGAGAAGGCAGGATATACCGTCCTTATCAGACAGCAGCTGCAGCAGGTTGCTTTGGTGGCATATGTTCACAGGGACCACAGACTTCCGACCTAAGACAATTTCCGGAGACAACCTGCTCGTCATTTTTTAAATTTTTTTTTCAGTGGGTGAGTTAGATTTCTGAATGGCTTTTAATCTTCATGTGAATCAAAACTTTAATTTAGAATGCTTATTTTGTGTTAAATCGAGATAAATT